CACGAGGTTACCACGCGTCAAATCTGACACTTCGCCACGACGTCAATGCACCGCCATATCGTTTTCTAACCGGCACCGGGAACACCATAGGCAACGTGAAACCTCCGCGATTTTCATGTACCGATCATGTTAGCGAGTGTAACAGGGCTCGGGTTTTCAGAGAACATGACGAGACTCGTGATTCAAGCAGATCCGTGAACACTGACGAAACTTCTGATAATGACTGGCAAAACAGAAAAAGAAGCGAGCATACTTCGTAATTTTTTTCCTTTTTCAGTTTTTGGTTTAGCAGTTTGAGGATGGCCGATTGAGGTCTCTGTGCCGACGGACGGTTTATTCTTCATCGATAACACGACCAATTGGTATCCTATCGACCAAGTCGATCAACGTGTAGCATTTTGAGAAGAAATCATGAGAAATTTTCGCGTTAAGTTTCGACAATGTTCGTGGATATTCCTAGGATTCATAGGCGACGGCAGCCGTTCAAGGCGTTACGAGAATGAAGACCGTTCCCTTTCGTTGTTCGAGGCGAGAGAGTTAACGATCGTGTCCGAGGAAAATTTGTTAGCACACACTGAGAACACTTAGGCTCCGGGTACAGTATGCACGACGTCGAATAGACCGAGGGCAATAGAGTCCCTCGATGCAACAAACACCGAACTAAAAAAACCGAGGTTGGATTTTCACAGGGAACGGACGCACCGCCGCTCCACCGAGGTTTGGTGTCGAATTCACGTAACGCTCTCTTGGCTGGCCGTGCGTTTAGTGGCGAAGCGGACACAGGTTGGGCACAATTGTTGAGAGAAAAAATCAAGAAAAAAAAATAGATGTGCGAAGAAAGAGATTTAACGCAGCACTGCACTCACCTGACCAACGTCGCACCACATTATTATTTCGCTGGCACTGACGACAGCATCTTGGATCGCTTGTGTACCATACACAGTGTAGCTCGATGGTTTTTTGTTTGCGGTGAAGTAACAGTACGTGAAATCGAAGCTCCACCGTCGGTGTGCGCTCCGGTTTTATATTATGTACACTTTTGTTCGTTCTTTTTTCGCTTATTTTTTTATTTCACAGTCTCACGAATTACACTCACGACTGCTGGCTCATTTGTCGCCGTTTGGTTATGTCTCGCGTCTCGGTATACAACGTCTCCCGCTTGCCCCGTCGAGTAACACCACACGATCACTTCGAGTGAACGACACGACTCTCACCGACGAGCTTAGTAGCGACTGGTTGGCCATGCAAAGCATTACTGAATACTCTAACAACAGTACTCGCCGAGTGTCGCCGCTCGGTTTTCCCCCGAGCGCGCGCTCGGCCGTTTCCGTTGGACCTCGGCCCACCTGCACTCTAGCACGACGGCACGGTACCCAGGACCGTAGCCTCCATACACTCGGCCCTTTCTTCGTTCTCATGTTTACCTCGAGCGATTCGTTGCGAACGTTCTATAATAAATGAATATTTTAGTATTTCTCTAGATAAAATTGAAATCGTTTACACATGAATATAAAAAGGGATTATAATATAAGAAGTATCGTTAATATTAATTTTTTGAGAAGAAAAAATTGGTTTGATTTTTAATGATTATTATATAACTTATAGATTGAGTCATATATATTTTTGTTCAGCGTTATTGCAAATGATACGTGAGAGTCAATATTTTCTATTGTTCATGAAAGAAAGAGATTCTCAATGAACGTAAATTAAAGAGTACTGGTTATTTTACAGCCTGTAACATTGTAATAACGGGAGCGTGGTCGGTACCTTTAATGTTCCCGAAGAAAGTTTCGGAATTTATTTTTATACGCTACCGGTTGCCTGTGTTGCTGTCAGCAACCATTGTATTTACCGTGTGTTTAATTTATGCAAAATTGTGCACAATGAGTTTTGTCATTTTCGATGGGACACCGAATGATTTAGATGTTTGTTCGAATAATTTTTTTGCTGCTGCACGCGTTTAACAATATGAATCTATTAGACCGTTAGCTAAATTGATTCGATATATTTATCAAAATGAACAAATTAAAACAGTCCCTGTGTACCGATGATTTACCGAGCGGTCGATCGGACTTCGAATTTAATAAATTATTTTTAAAAGCCATTGTACTCCGAAAAGCGAATAGCACAATATTGTCGACGTTCAAACGGTGGAAGATTTCGTACGAACGGAAGGACACGTTCTATTCACGCCACGTAAATTAATTATATAATTAATATTGAATATCCTCGGATTGTTTATGTCATTTAGGTAGCTCATAGAAAGGACATCCATTGTTTAAACGCACAGTTTCAAAATGAAATCAATACTTCTACACAACTGGTTTCTATACGTTATTTAATAATTGATATTTCATATCGAAAATATCTGTTTCGATTTGGATGAATAACTATTGAAGCAATTTTTAGAGAAAAGATAAGGAAAATGGCGGACTACAATGATACCAAGGTCATGTTACATGTTTCACTAACACAGGAAAAAATGTATACTTACGGAGTATAAAAATCTGAATAGAAATCATAAATAAATATATATAATTTCAGTAACTTTATTGCTGGCAATTCTCTATTTATTTGCATTGTGTTTGAGTCAAAAATTTCTTTTGACAAAGTTATTTTCAATACAGTAGTATATATTCAAACCGATGAGAAAAATAATTTGGCGCGAGAAAGTGCGCGATAGTCAAACGTCGCTCGATGAAAGTTACGGGAGAATGGTTTGACGAGCGATGAAAAATTTGATCCGGCGCAAAGAACTCAAAATGACTTAGACCATTCGATAGATACCGAGAACTATTTCGCGGACCTCGCACTTCTCGCGCCGTTTATCAGCAACTTTGTCAAGCAATACGATTGAATTATACGCTTCCATGAATAATACCAATATTAAATAGAAAAAAATCTGAAATTTTCCTACTTAAATTACACTCCCTAATAGTGTTCCAAACTGCGCAACTCTTCAAATCGATAAATTAAAAAAAAAATGTAGACTTTCCATATTACTCGGCTAATAAAATATTTTACAACAAAACAGCCTATAAAAGTGTACATAAACAACATGCATAAAAAATATTATTTTTTTTTTAAATAATCACAAATAATAACAACGAAAAAAATGTAAAAAAATAGAACTCAATTAGCATTATGAAAATAGTATAGGCGATCGATATCGAACCGAGGTTGCAACTCGATTTTGGTTTCGAGGCTGTGAAACGGGGAACCCGTAGACTCCGGGGCCCCCGAGTACGAGGGAGTTCTCCCAACGCCGTTAGCTTCGAAACCCGCCACTGACTGTCAGCCTGTATACGGCGAGCAGCATAAGAGTTGCCGAAGGCCTCGACTCTCGCGAGCCAGCAACGAGCAGCAGACAACGCCGCACGGATGCCGGCGCGCCACCTACCACACGGCAAGCAGCCTAAGAAAATTCACCGCGAACATTTTTATTCGGTACCGGGTAAACGGGCAGCATCATCGAGACGGTCCGTTCGCGAAATGACACCGGCCAGATCGTAGCATCGATCGATGACGGCCGTTGCCCGTTAGGCCGGGTAATTTCATGAATTTTGCGCGACATTCCGTAGCTAGCTCGAGGTACCGAGAAGAGTGTACGCGGCATATCGCGCGGCGGCTACAGTCGGTAGCGAAGCAGTTCTAAGCGAAGTCGTTTTCTCCGTGAAGGCGCGTCGAATATTTCTTCTTTCCTTCCTGGCGAAGAATCGTTGCCCGTCTTTATTCATTCCGCGCCAGAATTATGCTCACATGCGGCACGGTTTTCTCGCGCGGTGGTATGTTTTTAATGGAAAGAGAACTTCGACTTCTTGTGCTCGCGTGAAAGTCCTACAGAGCCGGCCACGCGGTTCGTACTTCGATCGAACCCGTCGACTCGAGGATCCACGAGCAGGCATATGCGAAGGTATCGAGGCGAAGTTAAAGCGTTCGAGAAATCCGTTCCCGTTCGCGCTGGACGATCGACAACAACCGGGTCGGTCATGCAGAGCTCGCTGTTTTCAGAGAGAGACGTAGACTGCTCACTGTGACGAGTCGCGAGCCGTGTGAAGCGTTTTGCCCGCATCATTCGGAATCCATGGTGTCGCACAGGCTACGTAACAGAATTCAAAGACGGAGATTCTTACCAAATGTCACACACCGAACAGACGAATTTGTTTTTCCTTGTTTCTTGTCTCTTAGTGCGAAATCTTAACCTCTCGGATCGAACGTTATTATGGTTGCGAAGAGAGGGAGGGAAAATGAGAGGTGGTACTGAGTGGCAGCGTAGAAGTTTCAACCGTGGTGGATTATTGTTGGCGCGAGAATGCGCCAATGATTCTGACCGCGGAAACAAGCGCGTACCGGCCGTTTAAACCCGCTCACTCGCGGCACAGCCGTATGCGGCTAATAATATACGCGTAATACCTTTGCTGCGACACAAAGAACAGTACCAGGAGGACAGTCGGACGCGTGGCTTCGCGACGGAAGTAAAGAGCCAGTCCGGTTTACGATTGGTTAGGCATCGTGCGACAGATGAATTGTGGCCAATGAATGTCCTTGCTCTCTGGACGAGGCCGCGGCGACATAAGCAATACTCATAGGAATATTATGAGCGCTTGCATGCTTCTATGAACGTCTCTCTGTTCTAAACTATTCTGTAAACCATTCTCCAAAAACTGTATACGTGATCCGTACTAACAGATGAATTATTTCATGAAATTTGTGTACTAGAAGGAAGGCAGTAATATTTTTTTCTATATTGATTCCAATTTGACTTAACTTTTGTTGTTACTTTTGTATCGAAATGATGTAGACTTTCCATGGATATGATTACTAGACTTTCTCATCTAGCGGCGGAATGGGAACTAGACGTACCTAGATGGTACCGGGGTGGGGATAAGGAAACATCGAGGAACTCGCGGGGCGTTTTACGACCGTCTTCGAAAGCTGCGACTCCTGTGTACTTCCGGCCTGGATTCTAGAAGCACCTGCAGGCGGTTTTCTTTTCGCGGAAGCGAAAAGATAATTCAGCAACTACTAAAAATACCCCGATAGCGTTCGCGTGTAGTCTGTGTTGTGTATCGATTTTTCTTTATATCGTTGAATGAAGAAGTCTTTTATTGCCGTTGACTGTTTGGATTGTCGTTGTCACAATAGATCTTTAATTGAAGTTGTTTATATGAAATTAATTAGTGTATGATATTTATTTATTTTATTTTATTTCAAAACAAGGTGTATAAGTATAGTGTTGAGAAAGTATGCAACAAAAACGTGTTACGATGACGACGCATCGATATAGATCCTCGGGTTAGTTTTCCCGCCATTCTCTTGCTTGATCCCGCAACTGGAAGTCGTCTTTCAGCTACATTCTCCTTATACTTAAATTTGTATATCCGCTTCTTGCTTAATTTAAAGCAGGTTAACTAATATATTTTACATTTTTATTCTATGCTCAACTCTAAATGAAATAAATGTATAATATCAAGTTTCTTCCATGTTACGTATTAAAGACTTATGCTTATTTGTACGTGCCCGTAACGAACTTAGTTTAACTAACTGAGACTGTCACCGACTATCTATCGATAATCCTTCAAATTTACATTGTTATCCAATATCGAATTTCAGCAGCTGGAAGTCTCCAGCTCAGCCGAATTAAAAGCACCTGTTAACACACGCTCGGCTCCACACTGACATCCGGACAACATCGACAGGTGCTGTAAGTTAATCAACTAATTCGGCGATTCGCGCGTGCACGTGACTTCCGTTTATTTTACTTTTTAAAGTAATTATTCGTTGAGATAACGAGTGAAATAACGTGACGTTAGAACAAAATTTGTATACCTCCGTAATCTTGTCAGTGTCAATATCAAAAAGATAATAATGATTTACACGCAATCTTTAATTGCCTATATCGCACCCATTACAAATTTGACTATTACTCCTGACATATTACTGATACCCTCTTGATTGAACAAAGGTTCATTATCTTCTCTTAAAGCTACAATATTACTGTACTACAGAAAGTACACGTACAGCCCGCAACTGCTACTCATTATCAGAGCCAGAAGCGTTAATGCGAGAGTACGTACGGGTAGGAATAAGAACAACAAAGTGGCCCGTGCTAACCTCGTTGTTCGGAAGGGCAGTCACGCTAATAGCGATGATCGGATCCTCATTATGGATTCCGATCGTGGTCTTCGATAGAGATCGGCAATAAGTTTTCTCTGCCTTCTACCGGAATCCCTTCAGCTTCACCGGCAAGTGCCACGAATTAATTCGGATCGAATCGTTCGAATTAGCCCGTTAAGAAGTCCCGGCGAATTTCGATTCGGCTAGTGACCGAATCGAGTGTTTATGTAACACGAACTCGGATCTCGACGATCACGGCCGCCACGTAATATAAACAAACTGATACCGGCGAAGCATTTCCCGATCTCGTTAGACTTATGCAAATCGTCGTCGGCAGGTCGTTGTATGTTCCCCGCGGGTGGCCGGTATTAGTCACCACCCATACCCGCGACGACGGCAACGAAAAAAAAAGAAAAGAACAGAAATGGAGTACAGAAAAGAAAAAGGAAACAGATACGTCTGCCCGCCAATGTCATTGAGCGTGAACGACGACATGTATAATTACAACAGACATTTATTAATTCTTCAACGACAACATAATACATACGAACTCGTAGCCGGCGGGACGGCTTTGCCCCCGCGTTGCGTTACTACACGCCGGTTTCATTCATGCATTTCGTGAACTAACGTGTATCAATAAACCGATGAAACTTATTATTCATTAATTACTCATTGTCACGGGCGGTTGCGCAATCCAGGAACGTCATCGTTTGTAACCTTACCATCGACCCCAGCGGCGGATGCGATCTTTCGCATTAATGAATTAATTAATTCTTAACGATTCGCAGTTAATGAGAGACGCGATGATAGAAGAAGAGCGCAACCGAACCGCGGATATCAGCGGCGGCGCGTCGCGTCTTATCGGCGTACCAGGACCGATAACGCAATCTTTATCGGCGATAACGTAGTTCTCGAGTCTTGCCGGCTATCTTGTTTCCAATGCGCGAATGAAGATTAAGCGCAGCAGCTATAGACGTGTTTTCTTATATACAAAATCTAGCTTCTGTACTATAATAAACACAAGTTTCACTGTATACCGGTAGGCACAAATTTCTCCGGCACGGTAAAAAGCGGATTAACCGGTAAACGTAAATAACGATCTGTTACAATTCGGGATTTAATTAGACATAAATTGTAAAATGGGTGGATCCATAGCATATATGTTTCCAGAATAATTGACATAAACTTCCTAAAAATGTACGTATAGGGAGTTCCTCTTCCTTCATGTCTTAACTTTGTGCCTTTCGTTTTACGCGTACTGACCTCGTTACTAATACTTCGCAGCGACTGTTGCTTCTACATTAGTACCGTAGGTAGTAAGAACTACAAAGTGGGTCTGGGATGCAATTAATTGTCGATTGATCATTGTTAATTAAATGCAACCGTGATGAATAAAGTATTGTCGGGAATTTCATGTTCGTTGTGTTTCGCGTGTCCGAAATTCCACGGCGAGGGGCGTGCCTCTCTCTCGGCGGCAGAGCTAAAAATCAACACCCGTAGGAATGCGACGAACGCGAAGGTCGGATTCACTGGATCAGATTCACCTAGATGCTACTTTCAATTAATTCCCCGCCGGCGGAAGGGTCGACGTCCCGAGAAAGGAGGATCGTAGTCCCATAAAACAGAGTCTCGGTTCGCCTCTGTCTCCTCCACCTACTCCTCTCGTTTCTCTTTTCGCCTCTTTAACCCTGACCTCCCGTAAAATACACTGAGAAAAAGACTTTTCCAACGTGTACGCACGAGCGGGCTGCCGCCGCCGGTGCTGGCCGAACTCATGAATGGACCCGCGGCTCTATTTACGAGCGCGCGACCTGCTGCTTTTATCGCCGTCTCGAACCACTCTTTCGCCCGGCTTCGCCGCTTTTGGTGCCCCCCGCCACGGATGCGCCGCCGACCGACGATTTTATCCTACCAGATGCGACATTCCCGAACGGTTGTTTTCGCGCGGATGATTCATTCTTCCTTCCGGGAGGGGGAGAATTTTAGGCTCAACGCTTACTTCATTGGTCTGGTAACTATCGATGTCACGAATCTAGAGATCGCGCGGGAATTGTATCGCGGTGACTTCTAATGCGAATCAGTTTAAATTAATACTAATGTATAGGTAATATTAGAAATTAGGAGATTTAGGAAAGTGGTTACTGATGTTTAACACTTTGTTTGCTTTAAAGTAAACAACGTAGTAGAGTAGCTGAACTTTATCGTATATATGAAGAAAGTTTAAATTTAATTCAACAGTAATAAACGATACCTTTTGTATTCGACATCAGAAGGCTTCTAGGATTAATCTTTCTTTGCTTTCTACGACATAAACAAAATTTCACTTCCATAATGCTCGATTTCCACATTTTTTATTCGAATTTTTGCAAACGATCTTGAGTCGTGAAATCGGGGCATTGGGCAGTCAATAGGAAAATCGGTTCTTGTTCGAAATTCTTGTGACGCGTTTTTCGCTCGCGTTATTCGTTCAATATCGCGACAATGTTGCTAGTTTCACGCTCGGACATTTTGCATTCAAAATGCTCGGATTCTCGTAAAGAAGTGTGACCGTTCGAGAGAGAGAAAAAATGGAATGCTTACCGATGGTCTGCAAGGAACTGCGTTGCTGTATTCCCGGTATTCACGATCTTACAAAATACCATCACGTACCGGTTATAATTCGATTCCGGCAGGCCGCGTGTTTTTCGCGTGTGCCTCGTCAGTGGCAAGGATCCGCCGTGACCTACGACAAATTTCACGGGTCTCGGTCGTGGCTGGTTCGTTCACGTGACACTCGCGTATCACCCGGAATCATTATACCAGCGAACAATGGATTCACCAACACAACCGGCTGCGTACACGCCACTAGAAAACTCCAATGGCAAGAGTTGTCCCCAATTATGCGGGCCACGTTGTTACCATTGGATTCTTCAAATTCTCCTTGTAAAAGGGAGCGCGTACAACTGCTCGTACAATACCTACGTGACAATGGGCTGCGATGAAGGGAAGACATTTCGCACTTCCTTCTCTTCCTTAAAGTACATTTGAATACGTAAATGTAAATTAAAGTAAATTAAGTTTAAAAGAAATGCACCTTCGAGTTCTTGATGCATATATCTTTTTGTTAATTGGATATTTTTACAATCAGAATATCAACACGGTTAACCCTTCTATGTGGTTTTGGTAGTGAATACATACCTGAATCTTTGTAACTTCAAGTAGCTCATCGCTAAAATCCGATTAAGGAAATAAATTATTTGAACGTATTATTAGTCAAATTAATTTCTATGGATGTAAATAGTACTTATGATTTAAATAATATTTAAATGCACTATTTTTCTAAAGATTAAAGTATATTTATAGTTTATTCATGT